TCAACTATCTCACTGGAAAAACAAGTGACCTGAAAAATAGATCCAAGAGAGATAATTTAATAATTACTGGATTACCTGAAAGCCATGATCAATAAAAGAGCCTAGACATTAAATTTCAAGAAATTAAGAAGGAAAACTACCCTAGAATTCTAGATCCAAAGGATAAAATAGAAATTGAAAGAATCCATTGCTATCACTTCCTGAAAGAGATCCCAAAATGAAAACTCCCAGAAATATCATAGTCAAATTCCAGAATTCCCAGGTCAAGGAAAAAATATACAATTCAAGTACTGTGAGCCACAGTCAGGATCACACAAGATTTAGCAACTTCCACATTAAAGAAATAGAGGGCTTAGAATATGATATTCTGGAAGAGAAAGAAGCAAGATAATAACCAAAAATAATCTATCCAGCAAAACTGAGTATAATCATCCAAGGGAAAAAGTTGACATTTAATGAAATAGAGGATTTTCAGGCATTCCTGATGAAAAGAACAAAGCTGAATAGAAAATCTGACATTCAAACAAGACTCAAGAGAAGCATAAAAAGGTAAATATGAAAGAGTAATCATAAGGGTATCAATACAGTGAAATTGTTTACATTTCTAATTGGGAAGATGATACACGTAACTCCTAAGAACGTTATCATTATTGAGGAAGTTAAAAGGAGTTCATATAGAGAGCATGAATGTGAGTCAGTTATGTTGGAATGATCTACAAAAATATGAAAGGGTGAGAAAGAGGGGTGTACTAGAAGAAGGCAGAAAGGAGAGGTAGAATGAGGAAAAGTTTCTCTCATAAAAGAGGGACACAAGAAAAAGCTTTTACAATAGAGGGTAAAATCAGGAGGAGAGTGGCAAGCAATGGTTAAACCTCACTCATCAAAACTGTTTGAAAGAAGGAAGAATATATATACACACACCCAGTTGTGTACAGAAATGTAACTTACCCAATAGAGAAATAGGAGGGGAATGGGATAAGAAAAAGGAAGCAGAGTGTAAAGATAATAAAAAGGAAGAAAGATTAAGGGAGGAAGCAGTAGAAACAAAATAGACTTTTGAGGAGGGACAGAATAGGAAGAGAAAAAGAAACAGAAGAAAAAGGAGTGGAGAGAAATATACAATAATCATAACTGTGAATGCGAATGTGAATGTGAACGGGATAAGCTCACCCATAAAAAAAAAAAGCATAGAGCAGAATGGATTAGAAATGAGAACCAATAATAATGTTGCTTACAAGAGACACATCTGAAAGAAAAAGACGCACAGAGTTAAAATAAAGGGCTGGAACAGAATCTAATATACCAGATGAACTAAAAAAAGGTAAGGGCAGTAATCATGATCTCAAAGAAGCAAAAATAGATCTAATTAAAAGGAAAAATCAGGGAAACTATGTTTTGCTTTAAAAAAAAAGTACCATAAACAATGAAATAGTACCAAATCTTTTTTATTATAGCAAGTTTCTCTGATAAGGGCTTCATTTCTCAGATATATACTGAATATAGAACAGAGTCAAATTTATAAAAATAAGAGCCATTCTCCAATTGATAAATGGTCAAAGAATTTAAACAGGCAGTTTTCAGAAGAAGAAATGAAAGCTATCTATAGCTATATATAAAAGTTTTAAATATATATGTATGTATGTATGTATGTATGTATGTATATAGTTATATATTAAAAATGTTCTAAATCACTATTGATTCAATAAGGCAAATTAAAACAACTCTGAGGTACCACCCATAGCTAGAAGAAATGATAAATACTAGAAGGAATGAGAGGAAAACAAATACATTAATGAATTGTTGGTAGAGTAGTGAACTGGTCCAACCACTCTGGATAACAATTTGGAACAAGGCCCCAACAGCTATACAACTGTGCATACCCTTTGACCTACCAACACAACTACTAGGTCTGGACCCCAAAAAGATTAAAGAAAAAGGAAAAGAAAACACATACAAAAATATTTATAGCAGCTCTTTTCATGATGGCAAAGAACTAGAAATCAAGGGGATGCTCAACAGGAAAATGGCTTAATAAGTTGCGGCATAAGATTGCAATGGTGCACTACTGTGTTGTGGGAAATGCCAAGGGAGGTGGTTTCAGAAAAACCTGGTAAGACCTATGTGAACTGATGCAAAATGAAGTGAAATCATTGTGAACAGTAAACAGCGATGCTGTAATAATGATAAACTGCGAAACACTTGGCTACTCTGATCAACACAACGATCCAAGACAATTTCAAAGGGCTCGGAAAAATCGCTATCCACCTCCAATGAGAGATCTGATGAATTCTTGAGTGCAAACTGAAATAGAATTTTCTCACTTTCTTGATTTTTCTTCCTTTTTATTTTTTTGCAATATGGCTAATATGGAAATATTTTTTACATGATTTCGCACATATAATTGATATAATATTGCTTGCCTTCTAAGTAGGTAGGTGTGGGCATGAGAGGGAGGAACTCAAAATTTAAATACTCAAAATTGGAACTCAAAGTTCAAAAAGACTTTAAAACCAAGTAAATAATAAATTTGAAAAAAAAATTAGATGAACTGTTGGTAGAGTTGTGAACTGGTCCAACCACTCTGAAGATCAATTTGGAACTTCGTCCAAAGATCTCTAAAACTGCATATACTATGACCCAGAAATATCACTACTAGGCCTACACTCTGAAGTTATTAAAAGAAAAAGGAAAAGAAACTAAATATAAAAAATTTATGGTGGCAAAGAATTGGAAACTGAGGGGATTGCCCATCAATCAGGAAAAGGCTGAATAAGTTGCAGGATTTGATTGTAATAAGACTCTTATTGTGCTGTGAGAAATGACAAGGAGGGAAGTGTCAGAGAAACCTGGCAAGACTTATCAGACCTGATACAAAATCAAGAGAGAAGTACTGGGAGATCATTGTGAATAGTTACAGCAATGCTGTTAAAAGATCAACTGTGAAAGACATGGTGATAATCCAAGACAATTCCGAAGGACTCATGATGAAAAATGCTATCCACCTCCAGCGAGAAAACTGATGAACTGATTACAAATTGAAGTAAAATTTTTTCACTTTATTTTTCTTCCCTTTTTTTTTGGGGGGGGCACACCAATATGGAAATGTTCTGCATAATTTCATATGTATAATTGATATCACATTGTTTGGCTTCTCAATGGGTGGAGAAACGAGAGACAGGGAGAGAATTTGGAACTAAATTTTTTAAAAATAATATTAAAAATAAATCTTTTTTTCTTAAAGAGGGAAATTTTTTAAAAAAGAAAAATATCACCTAAATTCCTAGTGGAACTGGAAGTCATCAGCATACTGTCTCTTAGTAGTAGAAAGAAGATTACTGCTAGGGAGGGGAAAAGAAGTAGTTTATTTTAAAAAGGATTTAATAAAGAAAATGCCATAGAAGATTTGGTTTTTTAAAATAGTACAACTAGTGGGGAAAAAAAAGACCTAATTACTAATACAAAGCATGTTGTCAGCACAACTCTGAAACTGCTATGTAACATAAAAGTTTGAAGTTTTATGATAAGCATTTTCCTTGCAATTTCACTATATAATTAGTATTTACTAAAAATTCATAAATACTTTTGAATTTTTAGACTTTTAAATTGAGACTTTATGACAACACTTTTAAGTATTTCGAGAAATAATATGATGCATAGACTATTAGTTCATAGAAAATAAGAAAAATAAGCTTAAAAATAGAGTATCAGATTAATCAATCAACAAATATTTATTATGCACCTATATGTGCCTGACACTATGCTAGGCACTGAGAATATAATGCAATGAATAAAATAATCCCTACTTGTCATGAGCTTACATTCTAATGGAATGGAGGAAAACAAGCACATATAAATATAAAGTTAATAAATATATACAAAGTAGACAAAAAAATAAAAGATGGTTTTGGGAGAGCACTGGAAATTGGCAGGATCAAGAAAGACTTCATGTAGATGATGGATGCCTGAGCTGCAACCCAAGGGAACAGACTTTTAAACTGGGGTAACAAGGGTAAGGAGGTAATACACTTTAGGCATCAGGGAGAGTCAATGCAAAGGCTTGGAGACGGGATATAAAATGCTGCGTATAATGTCCTGAGAAAACCAGTTAGGCTGGACTGAAGAGTGTGGGAGGGGGATTAATGTCCAATGAAGATAAAAAAGGGTGGGACCAGGTTGCAGAAAGCTTCAAAAGCTAAAACTGAAGCCTTTATGTTTTATCCTAGAGGCAATGGGAAACCACTGCACAGGAATTAAAACTAGGAAAGACAAGAATCTCCTTACTTTACAGAAGAAATCTGAAGGAAGAAGATTTTAAAGGACCTTCCCCCAGCGTAACAGTCTGGATTCAAATGTAGGTCATTAGACTGCAAACTGAGTACTCTTTCCAGTATACTCTTATGTACACTTGGAGAGGGAGAGAAAGAGAGAGAGAGAGAAAGAGAGAAGGAGGGAGAGGGGAGAGAGAAGGAGAGACAGAGAGAGGGAGGGAGGAGGGGAGAGAAAGAGAGTGTGTGTGTGTGTGTGTGTGTGTGTGTGTGTGTGTGTGTGTGTGTGTGTATAAAAGCACTTAAGACTCAAATAACTTTTTCAGACAAGTTAGGGATGATGCTATGAAGCACATTCAACTGATGCATTTTTTTTTAAATTTAGGCAATTGGGGTTAAGTTACTTGCCCAGGGTCACACAGCTAATAAGTGTCAAGTGTTTCATCTGAGGCTGGATTTGCATTCAGGTCCTCCTGACTTCAGGACCGGTACTCTATCCACTGCACCACCCTAGCTGCCCCGAACTGATGCATTTTTACAAATACTGACTGTGACTAACCTTTTATAAAAAACATAATTTAAACAAATATATAAACCTGGCAGCTTCACATTATTCATTCAATATGACAATGCAACATTCAATGACAATGCAACAACATACTCTTTTAAAAATGCTGGCAAAAAAATCCATGCTTTAATTGAAGAATTATAATCAACCAAGCACACTTTACTTACTGGAAAGTCCTTATCTTGTTCGTGTATCTGAATAGCAAAGTTGTCTGGAAACACTCCTTCTTTACCATTAAGTTCACCTTTCCACCATCCTACTTCTCCAGTGTCCTAAAATTAAAGTAAAGGTTACTTATTACTCAGAACAATAGTAACTGATCAAAGTGAAAAAGAATATACAGCTTAATAATTCAGTTCTTTTATTCAATTTTATCAAGTTTTTACAAATAATTGAACACATCTTACACAGAAAATGATCAAATCTGAGATCTTGCTAAAAAATATCACTATTACTATAGATGGTATTTATAGCATAACTTAAGAGTTGTTTGTGTCTATTGTTTTTAAATAGGGCAAATGATGATAAATAATAAATTCACCAGACTAAAAGAAACCATTGCCTGTTTAAGTATCAAGAGAAAAGAGTTACTCTACGAACAAATAGTTTGATCAATTTTCTATTATTTAAATTACTAAAATATTTCCCAAGACCAATGTTCACAAAAATTTTTTTCATATGTAGGAATTAGTGCTAGTAAGTAGCTTTAACAATTTATAAGACTTGTCTTCCTCTAAAGTCCCTTAAAGTTCTAAAAAATCCTAGAATAAAGGTCATAAAGAAATTCCAAAAGTTCTCCTCAAGTCCTCCATTTTTCCCATACCTAACACATTCCAGGCACATGGGAAAAGTTATTTTAAAACAAATAGAAATATTTGAAAGATAGTTTAAATGCCTGTGCATCTGAAAACTCTTACTTCCAACATACCATATATCAATGGCATTCTTGTTCACTACACATAATCCATTCTTCTAGGCAAAGTGATATTTTAAAATGGCTTAGCATAGGAAAGTAAATGAGAAATAAAAATATATAAGAACATATGAAAAATGAGAGGAAACATTGTAACAAATTAAATAGGCAAATATTCAACAAAATCATTTAAGACTAGTCTTAAAAGTCCATTAATTTGTTACTTTAAGATACAAAAAGTGTCACACAAACATTACTCGACTGGAACCTCAAAAAAAAAAAAGACCTTGAAACAATTACTGCGAGTCCTCATTTTACAGGTGAAGAAGCTATGGATGTTACCTTAACAAGGTTAAGTTACTTGTTCACAGTCATAAAGCTAGTTAAGTGTTGGGGGTAACATTCTGATCCAAGTCTCTCTTGACTTCAAGTCCAGTACCCTCCCTTTCTACTACACCTTGCTGTTGTTCATTTCTGTATAGAAGGCGACACAACTTGTATGTGGTACATATAAAGGTACACAACCCTAAGTACACAATGCTAAGTCCAGGAGGGGAGATATGTAATATTAAAGAGAGATTTTTATTTGTAATTGCTACTCATAAAATGTGAGTAGGATGACATAAAAAAAATCTAATCCAATAAAGACAAATCTAGATATTATATCTTCAGTTCCCCAATTCATAATCAAAATCACGGGAATGGCTAGAAGAAGCCAATAAGTAAAGCCTAGGATTTTCTGACTGGACTATTCCAATAATACATTTAAGAGCTTTTGATGATAGCAGGTAAGAAAAGAATATCAATATTACATAATAACAAGTAAGAAAAAAAGATCTAAGAAAACACATGTTAAACTTCTAAAGAATTGGATCACTCAGTTCTTTTATAAAATAAAATAACCCATTCTTTCGATGCTGTGTGCATCACTAAGAACTATTAATAGTTAATTATCTAGATGACAGGAAACTAATTCAAAAATATGTGAGAGTATTACAGCACAACTCCTTTGCAACAAAATGCAAATATACTTTATGTGGCAATGACCTAATTCATATTTGAATTATCTACTTGCCTAAAATCTTGTTTTAAAAATTATTTTAAAAGAATTTTATTGGCAAATAATAAGTAAGCACAAAAATTATAACTAGCTATAAATAGCAAAGACTTTAAATGGCTCAAATTTGCTCCTTTTTAATGATGCATCTTACATACATACCTTCTGGTGGTACATTCTCTGCCATGGAGTAGATCCTAAAGAATGGCATGATTATTTTACACTATTGAGTTTATGCTCTCACTCAGTACATGCACAAAATTATGTACCTTGGTTCAAAGTTAACCACCGAACTCTAAAACACACACATATAGAAATTAACAGAGGCAACAATGTACCCACAGGAGATGGGTAAGAAGAGATGCCCATTAAGTTCAATGCAAAAGAAAAGTCTAGTAAACAAGAAGGCAACAGCACTAATGATATTAATAGACAAGTGCATAGTGTGAGAGAAATAATTCTATTGAAAACTAAATTCTACTGCAAAAGAAGTTTAAATCTTAGGTAAAACTAATCCATAATGATGGTAGTATAAAGGTTACCTCCTACTAGGGCAAGATGAAAGCAGAATATTCTGGAGACAGTGCAAATGAAGGAATGAGAAAGGTAGGTAACTATTTAGTGTATGAAAATACTATAAGGGATTATTAAAAGAATATCACTATAAGGCAGAATATGTTCTTACATAAAAATAGGAAGTTTTTGTTTATAGTAGAATATTATCTTCCTTTGACAGTGGTATTAGAGGGTACAGTGGTAAAGTGTTGGGAGGTGGCAAAAATAGGGAATAAGAACTTATGGTGAAGTCAAAGGCAAATTGGACAACGGATACAAATGAGTATGAACAAAAGGGACTGAAAAATAAAGAGAATAAGACACAAAAAGACTAAAAGAGATACAAAACTAATAAATGATATAACTGATAAAAGTAAATCTATAGGACAATTTCCTTTGGAAATGTAATGACTCCCCCAGCAAACTCAACAATATATGAAGTGGTCTTACAACAACCTAAACAGGTAAATTTCACATTATTTAAAAATTCACTTCAATGACACTGGCATTCAACTCTTTTGTATATGACTTTCTAGGAGTGCTTGTCTTAAAGCAAGGCAAGAATGACATATAAGGTCCATGTTTACTTTGATTCAAAAGGAAAATAACTGCCTCCAGGCACCAAGTATGGATTAGTTAGGAAGCTTAGCTCTGCTCTAGATAGCTGCTTTGTATCAATCATGAGATAAGGCAGTCAAAATCCAGAACACAGATGAAGTCTACAATATAAGGAAACTCTACAATATGAGGAAACTAAAAAAAAAAAGTAATTGTTCCATTATAACCTAAGTTTGTTTATACACAGTTTGTTCAATTCATTAATTCATTCTATCTTCTTTTTTAAAGCTAGAAAGGGTGAGAGAGAGTGGGTCTCCCTTTCTCATCCAAATTGAGAGGTATAGGGTCTTCTCATGGACCCAATCCAATCTGGTCAGCATTGAAGGTCTGACTGTTTCTAACCTGAATTGGTTCATCTTTCCTAGAGGAGCTTGGTGCCTGAAGTGGAGCCACAGTGGAGACTGAATTTATGAAGCACTCCTCCACTCCTACTCCAGGGGCTTACCATACTAATGCTGTGCAGAGACTCTGAATCATTTTAGCCTACTGCAGATCATAATCTCTAAGTTTAAGCTACCCACCAGTTTCAGTCTCTCTGGTAATAGGGATAACAGCCACTACTTCTTTTAAAGTATTGTGAATTTCAGAAAGACTCACATTTAAAACTGAGAAATTATCCAAAGCCAAATACAAATAGTATTTTCATCATTAATGATTTTGGATTAAGCCCACCACAGATATCAGATTCTATCAATAAAAGCCCATTTGGGATTTCTTGACAAAGATACTTAAGTGCTTTGCCATTTCCTTTTCCAATTCATTTTACAGATGAGGAATGGAGGTAAACAGGATGATTAAGTGACTTGCCCAGGGTCACACAGCTAGTAAGCATCTGAGGCCAGATTTTAACTCATGAAGATGAGTCTTCCTTAATTCCAAGCCCAGTGCTCACTGCACCACCTAGCTGCCCTAATTTCATATCTCTACCTAATTTCCAAGAAAGCTATGTCCAATATTATTAGTCAATTCAATATTTAGGTGTTTCTGATATGTATGGCACTGCACTATAAACGGTAAGCAACAGAGATACAATTAAGTTAACAAAGACCTTTGTAACAAACAGTTAATAAGATAATATAGAACAGTTCAACACGTATAGTAGCATGTAATAGCAGCAAGGGAGAGAGTCCACAGTACTCTCAGAAACTTGAGATTAGAAAAAGCACTTTCAGCTGGAATGTACAAGGAACATGAAGGAGACAGCACCTGAGTTGGGCCTTGAAGGAAGGGCAGCGTTTCAATCAGCTAAAAGAGGAGGGGAGTCTATTCCAGGAATGTGTGAGCAAAAGTGAGACAAGAACTAGCAACAAGAATAGTCCAGTCAGTGTGGAATGTTGGAACAGGAAGAGCAGCAGTGCAAGTTAAGGTTGGAGAATTATACTAGAGTTTGTAACCAGCTTTGAATGGCAGAATTAGGAATCTGTATGGAGCAAGCAAACTAAGTAAGAGGTGCATGTTTAGTTGGGAACTACTGGGGCACTGAAGTAAATTGGTTGCACTCTATGGAAAAGGCACAAATATGAGACAAAACGAGACAAAATGCTGACTAATGAAAAGAAGGGAGAAAGCAGGAAGTTTAAGAGTCAAAAATGACTGCAAGGTTTAGCATCTGGGTCATTGGAAGGACTGTGGTACCACTAATATTAATAAAGAAGTCAGGGGCAGCTAGGTGGCGCAGTGGATAGAGCACTAGCCCTGAATTCAGGAGGACCTGAGTTCAAATCCGATCTCAGACACATAACACTTACTAGTTGTGTGACCCTGGGCAAGTCACTTAACCCCAGGCAAGTCACTTAACCCCATTGCCTAGGGCCACCCCCCAAAAAAAAAGTCAGAAAGGCAAGTTGTAGGGATAAATTAGTTTGTTTTGGGATATGGAAAGTTTAAAGTAATAGTAGTGGGACATTGAGTTGAAGATATGGGCAGCTGAAATGCAGAATGAGAATTCAAGGTAGAAGTGAAAAGTGGACACTGAAGGAATCATCCATATAAAAGCAATCACTAAAATCATAGCAATGGATGAGATTGCTAAGGCCTAAAGGACAGAAAGAAAGAGGAAGGGATGGGGGAGAGGAAAAGGAAAAAAGGGAGAGAAAGGGAGAATTTATGAAGCACTTCCTATGTTTCCA